ATCGATTTGTATATATTTCCTTTCTGCAAATTCCGCAGTTCATATTCCGCATTTCTGCAACATGTATGAACGCGGCCTCATGTATGAACGCGGCCTTAGCCGTGTACTACGGTAGCAGCAGCGAGTACGCAATTGCACGGCGTGACTGGTGGTATTTATTAAGACATCACAATGCACACCTTCTAGCCTTTGACAACAGCTTTGTGCAGTGGGTGCAACAAATGTGGGTGCAACGAATGTATATCAGGTGCAGTAGAAAGATGATAATAAGATTAGATTAAAAGAAAGTCCACAACAGGACCCTGATTTTAGAAAGTCCGGGAAATGATCCAGAGCCTCGGAATATTAACTCACATCCCAACGGTGCGGTAGAACTGTCTAGAAATCTAACAAAACGAGTTAGGCACCAAAGATTGAACAACAACTCTTAGCATTTTTGAGACAAAAAAGTAAACAGCAATCAATCTTCCCACCCTTAGCATTCATTAAAGTAAAGACAACCCCACCCTATTGAGTAAAGAGGAGAAGTCCCAAACAACGCAACCATGAGACGTGAGTTTCTCCATTTTAACAATAATCTAACAAACTTTAGTGATGTGCGCAATCCAGGTGCAGTCCCCGAACTTCACCACCCCCCTCTTCCCCAGCCCATCTGTTGTCTTGCCAGCTTTTCCCAGCTTTCTCCCACATTCCGGGAAATCTCCCAAAAAACTTTCTCAGGTTTCCTCCCGAAATGTTGCCGTCGAGTGGAGAGGGAGCCGTCACCAACCAACTACCTATTGCTGCTGGAAAGTAGTTGGAACCCCCCCCCCCCGTCCCTGACCCCTTTCCACTGGAATTCTCCCAACGACGTGGAAAGCGCCCGTGATACAGGAAAAACAGCTGAAAGTATTTTTTCTGTCCAAATTCGACTCCCTTCCTCCAGCGACCAAATACAACCCCACGCAGGTAATTCCCCAACGTGCGACGTGCCCTGACCACAATTCTCTTATGTATTCACTGCCTTTAACAGTAGATCTTGATGATTTGAGGGCTGGTTGGTAGAAACCTCCTTCTCCTTACCCGCTCGACGGCAGTTTTCTTGGGTGGAACTGGAAAATTTTCAAAATCTCTGGAGAGCCGGGGGAAAGTGGTAGGATATTGGGAGAACAGGAAAATGGCAAGTAGGATGGGAACGGGTCGTAAAAGGAGGGATTCGAGGCAGGGCGTCCTGCTGATACCGGAACCTTGCATCCACACATTTTCATTTCCATCGAAGTTCTCTCTTTTCCCTGCCCAACTCTTAATGCTTCTGGCTGTGATAATATGAGAAACAGTGCCCTGCGCTGAACTCATGCTTCACCCACAGGTGACCATGCACTATAGGGGGGGGGCAATGGTGGGCAGCATTGTTGGGCGTGGCGTGAGAAAGGACGAGTTTGTCGTGGTGACGCGGGGTCAATGTCTAGTTTGAATTCGTCCTTATGCTATATGACTGCACCTGGATTGCGCACATCACTAAAGTTTGTTAGA